CTTTGGAGGCTTCACGTTGCTATCGCTGAAGCCATGGAGCCTGCATTCGCTCCATAGGACGCAAACACACATTTCCCCTTAATTTTTGGAGGGGAAGAAGTGCGTCTTATAGAGCGAAAAATACGGTGCCTTGTTTGCAGTTCTTTCGTAATTCTTACTGTTGCAAACACTGCCATTAGGTTTCAGGGCAGCAGCTACAGGCATAGCCTAACTTGAATGCATGTATAATTCGCGTGAGGATTCCTTAATGATAATCCTGTCCAGTTCTGCATCAATTGCTGGGTGAAGTACAAAGTGTACATTTTGGGGCAGTCGTCCAAATGAGCTGCAACTGCAGGATTCATATGGGAAAATGTAGGAAGACACAACATCAGGGTTAAACTCTAAATCTCCTCATACAGAGCAAGTATTATAATTTCTTTTTTAAAAGTCAGATTCCTCAAATAAGCAAACTGCCCACATTCTGAGCTCAAGCCTTTAGGTTAGTAGGTAGACAGACTGAACTCTGCTTCCTCTTTGGTAGAGATGCTCTGTCTCATTGCATCTTTTGGGTAAAGAAGTGTGTGACCTTGAATTCTCTGTAACATGGATTATATTTTTTTGCAGGGGGGCGATTCTTAGTTTCATTCTAAGCACCCAATCATAAAATCTGCTTGGGATCCTTTAACAGCCCTGGACCAATATTGCAGGAAACACTATTAAAACTGCTTTCATGTGGCACTAGGCTGTACCTTTCTTCCAGAGGATTAAAAAAAATACCTACATTTTCAAATGTAATAAAAAAAATAGTTCAGGACAAAGTGTACTCAATTTTAGGGATGATTTTGCATTCAAAATACAAAATCAATTAGCAAAGGGAATATCATGATAACAGACAAGAGATAAACTATAAGTTTAACTACTTTCATGTGATTAGTGGGTCAGGTCGCTGTATGGAAGGGGCCAAGACTCTGCTTCGTCTTGTACAGTATTCTGAATTTCCTGCAGATGATTATCAGATTTTTAGACCTCGGGATGTGAACAAGGTGCAAAGACAAGTGAGGTGGGGATGAGAATTAAACTAAACACATTTCTCGATTTTCTCCCCACCAATGATGTTTTCTAGAATGAATTAGCATTTATACTATAGCTTAGTGTAAAGAGAGAGAAAGAAAATACAGGTGGAAACTGCATTTTTCAACTTTCAAAGAATTGTGGAGTTGGAAGGGACCCAAAGGGTCATCTTGTCCAACCCCCTTTATCCTCCTTTAGGATACAACTTATTTTCTATAAATAAATGGTCAAAACCATTTTTTATCTTACATACAGCACTTCTAAAAAAAAGGCATACAAATTGGTCCTGAAAGCTGTCTTCTGAAATAGACCTGAGGCTGGACATTGGTTATCTGAATATAAAGTGGCTTTCTTATTTTACTAGCTACTAAAAGTGCCCTAGATATATAATCCAAGCTCAAGGAAATTTGGAGACCAATTTGCAGGACACTATATTCTTGCATATGTAGAAAATGGGGGCGGTGTGTGAACTCACTGGCAGTAGAAGCAGTGATGGCCACAGGCTTAGGCCGCTTCTAAAATAGCTGATGATCATAACTTGCATCATAATTACAAATAAACTAGGGAAACTAAGATAAGTTTATGGAGAATGGGCTAGTCAGCTACTACCATCAGCCATGGCAACTAAATGGAAACTCACTGTGCCAGTAAATATCAAATATTGGAAAGAAACAGAGAAGGACTAACTTTCTTGATGTGTTTGGACGTTTTCTAGGAACATCTGGTGGGCCAGTGTTGCAAACAAAACGAAAGACTTGATGGACTCTTCTTGGACCAGTCCCGCAGGGCTGCTCTTACATTCTTTTGAGAAGGGGCATGCTCCAGAAACAACCTCTACCATTGAAAATAGGTCCCGGGGCTGAGCCTTATGAGTAGTTTAACCATGACTCATTGGACAGCTGCTACCATTGGCAGGGTATATGAGTGAGTAAGCAAAGCTGCGAGGAAGCATTGTATCTGCCTGTACCCTTGTGTGGTAGGGCTGTGTGTGAGAGTAACAGCAAACAGAGACAGAATTAGATCTTTAGTGGCGCGCAGATTTTAAATCAAGAAGTCATTGACTGTGGCATTTCCCCTCCTATGTGTGTGACATCATACTGGGTTCATAGGGAACGGGTTAACTAATTGTAAAATGACTAACCAATGGGAACCCACGGGGCAGAGTTAAAAGTGTACAGTGGTACCTCAGGTTAAGTACTTAATTCGTTCCGGAGGGCCGTTCTTAACCTTAAACTGTTCTTAACCTGAAGCACCACTTTAGCTAATGGGGCCTCCTGCTGCTGCTGCTGCTGCTGCACCACTGGAGAACGATTTCTGTTCTCATCCTGAAGCAAAGTTCTTAACCCGAGGTAATATTTCTGGGTTAGTGGAGTCTGTAACCTGAAGCGTATGTAACCCGAGGTACCACTGTATAAGGTTTAAGCACAGAGTTTTTTTTGAGGGAGTTGTTGAGAAGACAGTCTGGAGTTAGAAGAGACAGAGAAGATAAGTCTGTGGGTTGGGCTAGTCTGGTGTGAGAGAGTGAGAGAATTTGTTAAGAGGAGTCAGTCAAACAGTTGAGATAATCAGTCAGAAGGTACAGTGGTACCTTCCAGAGCAGCGCACGGAAACGCCGTTTACCTTCCTGCCAGAGCGGTACCTATTTAACTACTTGCACTCTGACGTGCTTTCGCACTGCTAGGTGGGCAGGAGCAGGGACTGAGCAACGGGAGCTCACCCCATCGCGGGGATTCGAACTGCTGACCTTCTGATCGGCAAGTCCTAGGCTCTGTGGTTTAACCCACAGCGATACTGACAGGAATATTATCTGAGAAACCATAAACTTGTTAATGTTTGTAAAATAAACTTGGGGTTTTTTTTGTTCACTTTTAACAACTGACTGGACTCAGTGTTTTACCAGAGAGTAACTGGTTGGTGGCAGCGGGGAAGCGAGCACAGTGGTGACACAGGGATCAATAGACCATTAAACGTCCGGCGACCCTGTGTGATCGCCACATTGACATAATGGGCATGGAACTGTGAAATATCCTTCCCCAGAACATTTATATTAAGTACTTCATCAAAGTCCCCTGGGGACTCTTCTCTGTTATTACCCAATGTCCACAGTCACAGAATCACTGTGAACATGATGTGGCCCAGAGGTCTTTTTCTGGCACTGTTCAGAGGGTGCAATCTTGATCATAAATGGGACACACATCAAAATGAAGTCCTCTTATATAATTTCTGGAGGTTCTGGGGATTCACCATAACTATGTGTTAATGGTTAGCAAAAATCATGGCCTTGGATTAACCTCACTGGGGTTGGAGATACAGAACGTTCCTTCCATGTTCTTCCTATCAGAGAACATGTACCAAGAGTTGCTGGGAAGAGCAACCATTGGGGAAGACGGATGCTCTCATGCCCTGCTTAAAGTCTTCCAGGAGGCATCTGGTTGGACACTGGAGAGGAAGTCAAATTATACCAGGGATGGAGAAATGCCAAGCCTATCTGTTTGGCTCTGAGGACTCTCCACACCCCTGCTTTCTCAAGTGTTTCCGCTCAGCTGGAATGTGCATCCTTCAAGTCAATTAAGAAATCTTGCAAAGGGGTGTGTGATCGCGTTTGTAGAAACTAGTCTACTGTAGAAAGGTAGAATTCGCATTCCGCTTGGCAACCTGGCATAGAACTCTTGTTTTAAAGCCTTGTTTTTCCTCTGCCAGGATTAGGCAGGTTTAGCTCAGTTGGATCTGATGTAGCCAGAGGCGGCTTTAGGGCAGCACAACAACTATAACACAGTGAATTGGGCAGAACAGAATGCGATATTCGGGTAGGTGTGTGGGTGCAAACTTTTGGCCTCGCACAGGGCACCACTGAAATTCACGGGCCAAGAAACCTACCATCTATTTTGGCGCTTTCTAAGCCAGCTTTCCGCAATCTTTTTGCTTGGCCTTAGAAACTTTGAAACCATTTGCCTTACAAAATCCGTCAGGCTAGCCATTATGACTATTAAAATAGTGACTACTGTCTCATATTTCTCTTTCATATAGTCCGTGTTTATTTCAGCTGGGCAGAGGAAGATAGAAGGTTCTTGGGTGAGCCTGTCCCACACAGTTGCAAGTAGAAGCTAACTATTAATTTTTTAATTTATTTTTAAGTTACTGGCCCCGAGTTGCAACCGTATCATCGCCTTTCACTTGGCATATGTGTTGTTTTTAAATCATTCAGTCATACAGCAGCTGTCTGATTTTTCCCTAGTTAGAAACAGTGATGTGTATGAATAGTTACCTCATTTTTGTAGCATAACTCACAAGTGTAGCATGGATTAGTAACAGGGGCCAAGCTTAGCATGCTTTTGTATTTAAAAAAAAATGAAATGTAATTTAGTCACGATTCAAGGTTGAGCTAGCCATTTGGTGCCATTATTATTATTAACCTGCTTTTCATCTTAAAGTCACCCTAAGTGTGGGTTACAACATTGAAACTATATTAACGCAGATTAAAATTACATAAATAAGGTCCTAAAAATGCACATATCAAATGACAATACCAAGGGTGACGAAGTGTATCTCCAGCATAATGAAGCTGCATAATGACCTGCCAAAAAAGTAGAAAAACATATTCATGTATGCGACAACGGCCGCGAGAGTTCTGGTAGCACAAGGATGGAAGACTGAAGAAACCCCAACTAAAGAATCATGGCAAGAAAAATTGATGGACTATGCAGAACTGGCAAAACTGACATATAAGCTACGGGATAAGGATAACTGTGACTTTAAGGATGAATGGGAACCTTTTACAAAGTATCTGAAGACGCAACAAAGCGAACTGGACTCCTTGGCAGGTTTTGAATAAACATTCACAAACTTTTTATTGATAATAATCAGCTAAATAGTTTGAGGATCTATACAACTTTGTAACATGCAGAAAACAGCATTCTTAGAGAAACCAAAGACTGGAACTGAGGGAAGTCGGGGGGCAGGGGGGAAGGTTGTGTGGGAGAGGGGGAGGGAGGAAAAATGGGTGGGGGAACAAGGATGATATGTTGGGGAGGAAGTTCCACAGTTTAGGGGTTGCCACAGAGAATGCCATCTCCTGGGCCACCCTCGCCATAATGATAATGAATTATCAAGAGGAAGGGTCTGTCTGGAAGGAGTCTGTCTTTCAGGCATGTGCGGCCTGAGTCATTTAGAACCTGGAAACGATCTGGCAAGCAGTGCAGCCATTTTATAACAGGTGTTATATCAATTCAGTTTTATTTGTTGCTATGACCATCATGGTCTTTTCTTTTCTTTTTTAGAAATGATTTTTATTGGTTTTACATATAATCATATTACGTAACATCGTACCCTCTTATTTTATCTCTTTGGCTCAACTGAGCCAACGACTTCCCTCCCTCCCATCTGATGGTTTACAAAATTAAACTTTACATCTTTACATTTCGCTTGGTTTCCTATCCTTGTTGTATCGTTACCTGAAATATTATATTACTCAACCTGAATAGGTAGCAATTTCATCTTACAGATCTTCAGATAACCCTGCTAATGATGTTAATTGCTTACAGTTATCTTTCAAATATAATATAAATTTGTTCCAGTCCTTTTGGAATGCTTGGTCTCGCTGGTTCCGTATTCTTCCCATCAGTTTCACCAGTTCTGCAAAGTCCATCGGCTTCATCTGCCACTCTTCTTTTGTTGGTAACTCCTGTTGTTTCCATCTTTGGGCTAACAAAATTCTTGCTGACCATCATGGACATTTCAGCCACCACCAGAAAGAAATAAGCATCCTATAATACTATACAGAATGTGTATAGATGCACCATTAAAAAAACCAGTTATATCACACACTTGTGACTGTCCCATCTTAAGCAGGACATCCCAGAATGGCAGAAGCCACTCTGGATTCTGATTCCATCTTGGGACTAGCCACCTGAGAAACAGTTTCTACCCAAATGCAATTCTGGTTTTAAGGACTCTCTATAGGAGTATATTGTATTTTTAAATGGGGTTTCAGAGTTTTTTTAGGGGTTTTTGAATGTCTTATGTAGATTTTTCAATTTCATTGTTCTGTATGGGACAATGACAATAAAGATATTGTATCGTATCGTATGTCCCATTTTGGTCCTGTGTGCTGGGCTTGTCATCGCGCAAGACCAAAAGGTGCACTTTTTTTGGTGCTGCATTCTCATATTATGCCCATTCATTTTAACACTTATACTCCTGGAAGAATTTGCTGCAGTTGGGTTTCACCCATAATCCTTTGCTCTACCACATCACCCCCACCTGCTACTGGCAGTGAGAGGGAAGCTCCTGTTAATGCAATTAGGAAATTATTTCCCATTGGAAAGCAAGTAAGTAAGTAATACAAATGTTAAATAAAAATAAAAAACATTTATCTGTGCTAAGAGATTTAGAGCAGAAATATAGCACAGATAACTCTTTTTTCCCCTCCCAAGCGGTACAAATGGCAGCTGCGTTTCTACATGTACAATGCACAGATTAAGACTGCAAAAAAGGCATAGTGGAAAAGGTAAATCCCCCTGCCCCACCCACCATTTAGGTCTCAGTCCAATCCCACCTGCCCCCAGCTGCTTTTTAAAAATAATTGTCAGGTGATTCAATCACAAATCTTCTCATCTAGCCTGGCCCAAAACTGTTTAGAATTATTTTTTTTGAAAACACTTCTATACTTTTCAAACGCTTCTATTTTTTTAAAAAAGAATAAAATCAATAAAACAAAATAAGCAGAATGTATTATGGAGAATGAAACAGATATCTGTTTTCTAACTTCAGAACATCGGCCGACTGTTAATTAGTCATTGATCGGAATATTGCAAATCCCTACGCATGCAGTTTAGCTGCACTCAGTTTTACTGTTGCAGAACCTAAATTACGAAACTACCTTCTCATTATTTCTCTCTCTCCCCCCCACCCCATTTCCAGATGCTGGCACTTCAGGAAATATTAAAGGTCCCCTGATGAAATTTTTTAGAAGTGATTGCTTTATTGTACATTTTGCACTCCTAGTCAAGCTGTCATCACCACCTATAGTTTTCTATAACTACCTGCACATGCCCATATACTTGGGAGGGAGAAAGTGGGGGTGGGTATTATCTTGGCTCTAGTTTCACTCATCTCAGGCGTGCATATATATATATATATATATATATATATATATATATATATATATATAGTAAAGTTCTGACAAACTTGCAGCAGCCAGAAATTCAGAACACATGGAAACGCTATCTTGAAAGAAGAAATGTTATACAGACGGGTGGTTTTAAGGGAATGATAACATTTAGCCAGTACAGTGGTGCCCCGCAAGACGAATGCCTCGCAAGACGGAAAACCCGCTAGATGAAAGGGTTTTCCGTTTTGGAGGTGCTTCGCAAAACGAATTTCCTATGTGCTTGCTTCGCAAGACGAAAATGTCTTGCGAGTTCCTGCGGGGTTTTTTTCCTCCCCCCCCCTTTTTCCCAAGCCGCTAAACCGCTTATCAGCTGACGGCTAAGCCGCTTATCAGCTGATCTTTAAGCCGCTCAACAGCTGATGCTAAGCCGCTTATCAGCTGATCTTTAAGCCGCTTAACAGCTGATGCTAAGCCGCTTATCAGCTGATCGTTAAGCCCCTTATCAGCTGATCTTTAAGCCGGGTAGCGCTAAGCCGCTAAACCTCTAATGGGCTTGCTTCGCAAGACGAAGAAACCCGCAAGACGAAGAGACTCGCGGAACGGATTCTTTTCGTCTTGCGAAGCACCACTGTACAGAGCAAAGGGACTTGTTCTTAGAAGTATTGCAAGCAAGGCCACCAGCTCCCCCATCACTCTCTCATCTGCCAACCTTACCCTCCCCTCCTCACTCAGGACTACAAGTTGAGCATCCTTGCACAGGAAGTCCCTGATTGCTAAAAGCATTGGTAGGCAACCTAAGGCCTGGGGGCCGGATCCGGCCCAATCGCCTTCTAAATCCAGCCTGAGGACGGTACGGGAATCAGCATGTTTTTACATGAGTAGAATGTGTCCTTTTATTTAAAATGCATTTCTGGGTTATTTGTGGGGCCTGCCTGGTGTTTTTACATGAACAGAATATGTCCTTCGATTTAAAATGCATCTCTGGGTTATTTGTGGGGCATATGAATTTGTTCTTTTTTTTTCTTTTCCAAAATATAGTCCAGCCCCCCCACAAGGTCTGAGGGACAGTGGACCGGCCTCCTGCTGAAAAAGTTTGCTGACCCCTGGGCTAAAAGTCACAGCACTGGTGCCAATGCTGTAATTATTGCTTTTTTTCTTAAAAAATGTTTAGGAGTACTCTCATTTTGACTCAAGAAAATCACCATTTTATAGTTCAAACTGGGAAAAATAAATACAGTAAATGGACAAAAGTACAAAGATTCATAAAATGTTTGGGGGTATGCGTACCCCTGTGTACCCCCAGAAAAAAAGCACCGGCTGTAATATATTATATTTGTTATAATAATAAACCAATAGTTGCATCTTTAAATAAGCTGAGCAATGGAGTTGCAAGGCAACTTGCCACAGGGTCTAATATAAACGTTTTGATAAAATCCCTCCATATATATATATTTCAAAGCAAAATCCTACTCCATCAATATTTTCCAAACGTATTTCCCCCCTAATGTGCTGGAGGAGTGTTTGTCCATTAAGACTGCATTAAAAATGCTGACATTTCATATTTAATTTAAAATCGAGCATACAGTTCCATCGGGGAGCAGCCTAGGCCAGATTTTGATATAAATTAGGGAGAGCTGTGTGGAGAAGCTTTATTCCTTTGCAAAATGCTCCTCTGTGGAAAACTGACAAAAAAAAAAAATGTTTTTAGTCATCTGAGGCAAATTCATCTCTGTAGCTCCAGAGAACATCAGCTACAAGCCATTCTTAAAGCCTTCCCTGCTACATGCATAAACTACAATTCAAACTACACATTAAAATGATCTGAATGACAGGGCGGTGATATTGGCAGCGGAGTTTTGGATAGAGGTGAGAGGTGGGTTAAGGGAAGACCAGAGAAAAGAGGTATGGAATAGTTAGGGCAAGTTGGGAGTGGTAGGGGCAGGTGGTTTGTTTTGGGGTTTTTTGCAGTATTTAGCAGGACTAAGCAACATTCATTGGATAGATAGATAAATAGATAGATAGATAGATGCATAGCTGTCAACTTTCGGATTTGAAAATAAGGGATCAGCAGCCTCCCCTGTCCCGGAGACAGTCTATGGGATATCTAACAATCTGGGATAGCAGCGGGAAATGGCGCTGAAATAAGGGAATTTCCCGCAAAAAAAGGGAAGGTTGACAGCTATGGGTAGATGGCACCTTTTTAACACAAAGATCCTGAAGGCAGCTTACAGTTAGTAAAAGAAAAGTCAATAAAATAAAATGGCTCACTTGTCACACTAAGTCAAATCACTGCTTAGAGCAAATGCACGAATGTGTAAGTTTCCAGTACCATTTTGCTCCTCCCTCCATCTTGGGAAAGCTGGCTGAAGGCTGGCTAGGAGAAATGCCTTTTGACTTCAGTGCTGTACAGCTGTGGGAAACAAGCCCTGCTTGAGATGACCATGCTGTTTGATCTGGACTCCCTCCATGCAGATTGAATAAATCAGATTTCTTAAATCCACTGTGTCTTCAGTTCTCCAAGGGAGCACAAATCCTGGGTGAAATCTGCACACATATAAAAACTGTTCTGAAAATGCTTTTTTTAAAGCTCTTTTTAATATAAAAAAAATTAAAATACATTGAATTTTCCATAAGCCTCACCATCACCACCTAGTGTCACATTGAATATTGCACTTAAAACGTTTTATTTGCAGCTGTATAGCTGAGTCCCTGGATGAGCCCCTGGAACCTCCTGGAATCTTACTACTGCTTGGCAGACAGTAGGGGTGGCGCCCAACTTTTGTAACAATATTTATGAACCTTTTGTAGATCTCTGGCCATTGCAGTTAAAGTAGTGTGGTCCCTAATGCAATGCACAGTAGGCCTTTTAGGCACTATATGCTTATAGGGTCAAAACGGTGTAGCTTCCAGCAGCAATAAAAGCAGACGGAAGCCTAACATTACAAGGTTTAAAAAGGTATTTTGTTTCCTCCCTAATTCTTTTGGAACCTTCTTGTGCTACTTAGCAATGCCACTAGCGACCATCCTTGACAAAACTAATTTGGGGGTAGCATGCACAAAATTAACTGATGTCAGACTGTGTGCGGGAGCGGGGTGTAGACTTAAGCAATATGTGGGTGATACCATATTAATTGATTCGCTGATTCTGTGCTGCATAATTAAAGGAGGACTTTAAGATCATGGGCAGGTGTGCAATTGTTCATACTACTGTCAGGTCCCAGATACTGTTCATACTGGAAGAGGAGTAAAGTGAGAAAGGAAAAGAAATGGAAACACCTCCTTAAGAAGAGTTTAATTTATTTTTTTAAAAAAAGACAACCTAATTCTTGATCGTTTGCTTGTGAGAAGATTTTCTGGGGTAAAGTCCACTCTTTTCCTTCTTGGGATGTCAATGCCTACCTCAGGGAGTGGGTGCTTATTTGCTGTGTAGGTAGAATAATAAATAATAATAATAATTTTTTATTTATATCCCACCCTCCCCAGCCAAAGCCGGGCTCACCAAAAGCCGAGGATGCTGTCAGATTCATAGTATTTATTTATGTCAAATATTTCTAGGCTGCCTTAAGAGCAAAGGCTTCTCAAGGCAGCTTATATTAAAACAATAAAACATAATTCCAGTAAAAGACAGTAGGTTACTTCTAGCACTGATTCTCTTGCATTTAAATATTCCCACTCGCTTAAACATTATTCCCTGCCCTGCTTGTCTGCAAGCTTCTGCTCAGGTGTAGCCTCCAGCCTTTTCTGACCCAGGAATTACTTTTATCCCCAAAACATGTATTTGGGAACCCATTCCTTAATTTGTTTACTGTATTTTTGTATGGTGGCAGTGCTGCTGTTGTGGACTACCTTAGTTCAGGCTGTGACCCAGTCAGTTGACCCAACAGTTGAACACCATAGTGCTAAAGGAACAGGATAATGACAACCTGGAAAGGTAAAAAAAGAAAAGAAAGAAGGTAAATGTAGGACTTGTGACCATCTGGGCATAGAAATAGGATTTTGGACATAGAACCCTGGATTAAAGTTCTGTCTATGCTATGGAGAGAAGCTGCAACTGGTATGATCCAGCACACAGGTTTGTTGAGAAACATCTCAAAAGTGACAACAACAAAAGGTGGCTTCCTAAGACTGTTAAGTTGTGGGCGAACATATCAGATGACACAGCGATTCTTCCAAAGCAGCTCTTTATTTGTAAGCTGGAACAGAACTGAACTGAGGAGCTCAGTCAGCCTGCTTATATAGAGCTCCACTAGAATGCAACAGTAACCATTTTCTGTAACTAGCCAATCACTGAACGTCACTTTCGATCCTTCATTTGCATACAAACTATCCAATCACTGAACGTCACTTTCGATCCTTCATTTGCATACAAACTATCCAATCACTGAACGTCACTTTCGATCCTTCATTTGCATAACTATCTACAGTATCCCCCTGCTGGCCCAGGGTGAGAACTTCAGTATATAACACCGACCAACACACTCCTTCTTATGGCAAAAAACGTACTGATTTGTTAAACTTGAAGGTGGCTCTAGACCCTTGGTTGTTCTTGCTGCAGCCAGCAGGTAAAGCCATAACTCAGGAGCAGAACATCTGCTTTGCCTGCAGAAGGTCTCAGGTTCAAATCTCCAGCATTTCCAGGTACTAATAATATTACAATTTATTACCCACCCTTCAACCTGAAGGTCCCAAGGCAGGTTATAACGATTAAAACACAACATTTAAAACAGTGCAGAATAACAGGTAGGGATCAAAGAGAGGCTTTGGTATGAAATCCTGGAGGGTTGCTGCCAGTCCGTGTAGGCAATACTGAGTTAAATGGACCACTGGTCTGACTTAGTATAAGGCAGCTTCCAATGTTCCTAACAGACTGACATGGTTATCCCTTCAGAAACAGTAGATAAAGTTTCAAAAAAACAAAAACACTTTGCAGATTAAAATTATATAAATACTAGCATTCACACACCAGCCCCGTGAGTAGTCCTCAGCACAATAATACTGCTTGCCACAGTGTAATTATTATTACCCTTAAAATAAACTACGTTCTTTACAGAGCATTAAGTGGGAGGGAGCAGACGACAAGTCCTTGCCCAAGAGGGAAGCCGACATGAGTTCATGTAAAGCTGATAAAACGTAGTCCCTTCATAGAAATGGGCAGTCATTACAGATGGATAAAAGTTACCTTTGATTGAAATATGTGCATCTATCTACCTATTTATCTACTACTGATTGAACTCAGGTGCTGGCTGATTCTACAGACTCCAAAAACCAACAGTGTGTGACTTACTCCAAACCGGTGCCAAAGTTTTGCAATAGTTTTGCAGTGAAAACTCTGCATTTTGAAGTGCCCCCCACCCAACTGTGTAATTAAACTGCGGGTCATAGCTATTACCCAAAAAAACAACTTGGTCCAGGGCATTGCAAAAACTGGGATTTGTGCTGCAAAACCCTGCTAAAGAACTGCAAAACTTTGGCAGCATTTTGGAGGGGATCCCAGATTTCAGGGTTTGTAGTTAATAAAGTTCCAATTTGAATGTCTTCAAAGCAGGGTTAGGCAAATTGCATTGGTTTTTAGATATAGCTTATACAGATAAATATGTGAATTCAGTCTTGGACTGAAACCCTTAGGAAATATATGGCCTAGTCCCTGTTTTTGAAGCAATGCTACAACTGAACGGATCTAGTTTGTATCAAGGCTTCTGGACAGAAACTTCCAGAACGTGTGGCAGTCGGTTGAGGACATGGTGACTCAGCAAGGCGCTTAGAAAAACAAATTCTCAAAATACAAAGGGATGAGTAACTTATCCCGGCATTGTATATCCACACATCAAAACACAGTTTAGGATATTGCCATTGCTTAATTACTAATTTCTATTTATTCAACTCTGTAACATTCAAAACAGCATTTAAATTAAATTATGTAAATATAATCATTTTTTGAAGTTACAAATTTGCATATGCAATGGCTGCCATCCCTATGTGTCTGGAACATTTCCTCCCCTGGCTTTCTATCCTGCCATGGCAACTGGCTGACAGGATGAAATTCTGCCCAGGCCCAATACAACTAGCTAGCAAGCTGGCTACCGCTCACAAGGGCCAGGCTACACATGCAGCAGAACCGTGTGGTACCAATTCTGTGAGATTGCAAAATGGACTACACCACTTCAGACTTCAGGTGGGGGTTTCACAATGATAAATGCTTCCCTGCATACAAAAACAAATACAAAACCCAGCAAAAAGAAAACCAGCACAGGAACATTTTCTCTAGATATGCAAGGGTGGTTGTTGTTGTTTTTTTTAAAAAAAATATTATTAAAGTTGCATGGAGTTTGGGGTTGCTGTTTTCAACCTGCACTCTGAACTGGTACAGGCTGCTGCATCCCCTCAGGGATTTGCCCTCTCTTTCTGCTGTCTGTGTAGACCAGGTCGGAAAAAGGTGTGTGTTTCTCTGACAGGGAAAGCCTCAGTGGCTGCAGTTTCTGAAGGGCTGCGGATTAAAGGAGAGGACCTGAGGGCAACTTATGTCAGAGACTAGGTGTAATATAGTGGTTAATACGCCAGACTCACCCCCATTTGTCCATGAAGCTCGTTGGGTGACCTAGAAAGGGTTCCCTATCTCCCAGCCTAATCTACCTCACAGAGTTGTGAGGGTAAAATGCGAGGTGAACCATTCCCCATGTACACCAGTGGCCACTGCCACCCCCACCCCCCAATGGAGGAAAGGCGAGTTCAAGAAGTTTGAAGCGTGTCTGGAAAATAAAATAAAGGGCAAGAGTCAAATCACTACCCTCATAGAAAAGTTGTCCTGGGGGCGGGGGGACGGGGACACAACAACAACTCACGATTTGTGACTGCATTCATATGCAGCACCAAGGAATAAGACATTATCTCGGTTGAGGGACAAAAGCAAAGACAACTCTCCTCAGTATTTAGAGGCAAGACTGGATCAAAGCCATAATGGGCCTCAGGCAGTGGGCTCCTTGTTTCACTCGCAACTCTGAGGTAACACCTGGAAATGGTGTGTACACACATAAGCACGCACTGGAAGAAAACTATGCAGTATGCAATGCAGAGGGGAATACTACATATCTTAGAGAACACCATCTTCCATGCTTTCCTTAAATTAAAAAAAACCCTATGGTTCCTGTTTTTAATTGTATTATGGGTTCCTCCTCTTGCACAAGAGAAAGCAGGGGTGTGCACGCACCATCCTTGGTCCCAATCCCAACGTCCATGTCTGCATAAAAGCGGCCTGTTTTTTGTCCTAAACCAAAGCCAGAGTGAGAAGGT